TGTTCTCAGTTAACAGCACTGTCAATTACTGTTTAACCTTTTTGAGTCTTATTACTTTCCTTATTAGTAAAGTGGTAGTTGTAGTTAAGGTTAAATGAGAATATAAAGTCCTTAGCATGTGCCTAGCACATAGTAAGTACTCTGAATGTTAGCTGCTATCACCAATGTTATTTATTAGTCATAAACAATAAAACATGTTATAAAACGTTTTGTGCAGAATAGAAAATTGAAACTGTGATGGCTGACTTCAGGCCATGTATAGTCCAAGAGGCATCTTTTTTACCTTGTCCTTTTGATGTGAATTCTGCCATTCATTGGCTTAATGTCCTTAGACTAGATATTTAACCTTTCTGTGCTACATTTTGTCCTGTGTGTAACAGAGGTAGTTATAATAGAGGGCTGCTGTTGATTCTTAAGTACTTGAATTGATGTTCTAGAACAATGCTTGGCACATAGTAAGTGCTCAATAAAAGCTATTTTTAGAATTAATATTAACATTATTCAATTATCAGTGTGCTCAGCTAATTACACAGACTGCTAATGATAGAACCAAATTTATACAAGAGCAAAAACTGACATGGTAAAAATTTCTTTAAAAATATTTATTTTTTAGTTGGACACAGTACCTTTATTTCATTTATTTTTATGTGGTGCTGAGGATTGAACCCAGGGCCTCACATGTGCTAGGCAAGTACTCTACCACTGAGCCCCAGCCCCAGCCCCAGCCCGACATGGTAAAATTTATAATAGATTAAACATTGACAGAAATGTCACCCTCCTGATCAAATTTAAATGTGCAAAAATTTGAACAGGGAAAATTGGATATAGTAGAAATAATGTAAAAAAATTCAGATGCAGAAGTTCTAATGGGTCAGTTGTGAAATGAAATAAACAACAAAACTTCTAATCAATAAATTTAAACTCATTTAAAAATGTTTACCTGTTAAGAATTGGTCCTGGGGCTGAGGTTGTGGCTCAGCGGTAGAGTGCTCGTCTATCACATGCGAGGAGGCCCTGGGTTCAATCCTCAGCACCACATAAAAATAAATAAATAAAGGTATTGTGTCCAACTACAACTAATAAATAAATAAATATTAAAAAAGAATTGGTCTTAATGAAAATGGGTATGGATTCAATGGACAGGGCTAATTGCTGAGTGAAAAAAAAATGATAATGAAATGAAATTGATTTAAAGGAGTTAGATTCACTTTAAATGTTAAAGAAAGTACACTAGTACTTGTATACTTTTCACTAATGTTTTTGTATTAATAAAGCATGGAATTAAAATTTCCTCAGGCTCGAAACACTAAGGGAAGTAAGAGTTTAAGTGGTTAATAGTGTTAAGAATCATAGAAGGTAAAAGCTGAATAAAAGAGAAGAGCTTGTCATTGGGTCTTGATATTGTTAATGGGGTCTTGATATTGTTACAGAATAGAAGTTTTATCAAGAGAGAACAACTAAACTAGATTACAGTGGGTAGAGTAACAAATGGGAAGTACAAAAAGAGAAATAACAAATGAAACTATGGAATTTAGAACTTATCCCTTAAACAGAGGACAATCACAAACTTTTTTTTAAGAAGTCAGGCAACCCTGATCATCTTGACTAGTTTATCGATAATTTATATACAAGATATATTTATTTATTTATTATTATTTTTTTTTTTTTTAGAGAGAGAGAGAGAGAGAATTTTTTAATATTTATTTTTTAGTTTTCGGCGGACACAACATCTTTGTTTGTATGTGGTGCTGGGGATCGAACCCGGGCCGCACGCATGCCAGGCGAGCGCGCTACCGCTTGAGCCACATCCCCAGCCCATGAGCCACATCCCCAGCCCATAAAAGCACCTACAAACTTTTGATTGAAGGAAGAATGTGATTGAAAGTGCTATTTAGGGAACTCTGGTGCCAGCATTTACAGTAGATTGCTGGAGGATAAAAATGGCAATACAGAGACTAATTATTGGGCTGGGGATGTGGCTCAAGCAGTAGCATGCTCACCTGGCATGCGCGGGGCGCTGGGTTTGATCCTCAGCACCACATAAAATAAAATAAAGATGTTGTGTCCACCGAAAACTAAAAAAATAAATATTAAAAAAATTCTCTCTCTTTAAAAAAAAAAAAAAAAAAACAGACTAATTATTAGGGCAGTGGTGGGAAATGAAGAAGAAGGAATGACAGGGAAGCATTCTAGAACAGAAAATCTTGTGTTCTGTGTAGCCAAATAAGAGATTTTAGGCTAATGGCAAATAGAGAAATCAAGGAAAGGAATTGGTTTGTGGAAGATGATGATAACTTTTCAATGAAGTTTTATTTGATAGCACATTTGTATGGAAACGAATAGCAGTCAGTTAGAAACTAGAGCTGCTGTGAATTCTCATACTTGGTGTTAAGAGAATCAATGTGGACTTTATATAGGTAACTGATCATAAGAATAGTCGGGGATTAAAGAAGTACCTTATGAAGAAGTTTTTTAACTGGGTATATGAAAGCTTCAGGGAGGTCAGGAATTATATACAGAACTTTGTGAATATTATATTTTTGTTTTGGAAAAGTGAGTTTTGTATTATTGCCAAGAGTCTGTGACACAAGGGGTAAAAATCACTGCTAGAAAAAGTAAACCAGGTAACTGAACATGGAGACAAGACTAAATACCAAAAACAGAGAACCAAAATAAAACTAGGATTGAAAGTTGCAGAAAATGACAACAGAGGAAAAGATAGAAGTAGTAAACCAGACATTAAAAAAAAAAAAAAAAAAACTGAAACGGTGTAGGTTGATGTTTTATTTTTTCTGATGCCAGAAATACTCCATATTCCTTGGATCCTGTATACTTTGCAGTATATTAGTTGATCATCATCATGATGACCTAGGAATTAAGAATTATCTTCCATAGACCTATCAGTAGTAAAAAAGAAAATTGCATAACACATTTAGAATGATTTTCATCCAGAAGTATAAAGTAATATTTTGCTATATAAAAAGCATAAGGTATGTATTATACAGAGTTAACATGTTATCAGAACTTAGCTCTGTAAATTTTACTGATAAAAATTTGTTCCCTACATTACTGTAGTTTTGGTACTTGGTTGAAATAATTGGTTTATGTCAGATGAAACATTCTATTCTCCTGTGGGCCATTTGACTTTGAATATTTTCTTGGGGATCTTCTACTAACCAGATGGGGGCAGACAAACCTGGACTACAGTATCAGGGCTTTAGGTTAAAGGCAGACAATTCTGGTAGTGCTTGTAAAATAATTATGATCTCATTAAAAAAATTATGGCACTATTTGGATGAGGTTATTCCAAAGGAGTGATTTTTCCCATTTGATGAGGTAAGTATTAGCTAATGTGGTCTACCTGTTGCAGATGTGCTTCCTGTAAAGTATTTTAATCAAAATACTCCTAGCATCACAATTACTAGGAGAAGTAATATGTAACTCATGGAATTAAAAAGTTTCTATTTGGACATCTTTTTTTAGTAACTGGGGCAAGAGATACCAAGTATTTTAATTAAGAATTTAATCTTTTGAGACAGGATTTTGCTGTGTTGCTCAAGCTAGTCTTGAACTTGAATACTCAAGCAACCTTCCTGCCTTAGCTGCCTCCCAAGGAGCTGGAACTATAGACGTTTGCCCAGCCATTAATCATTTTTAATAATTTTAATTTAACATCCATTTTGATCCTAATATGTTAAGGAGCTAAACATTTTTTTCTTTAGTCATGCCAGTTCATTAGATTGTTTTCTCTTTTTTGAAATTCTAAGTTGCCACTTTTCTTTCAATTATATGAATTAAGTGTGAAATGATAGACAAGTTATTTTAGAAAGGTTTTTGTTTGTTTGTTTTATGCTAGGGATTGAACCAAGGGCACTTTACCCTTGGGCTATATACATCCCCCAGCCCTTTTTGTTTTTCATTTTGAGATATTCTGTGTTGCTGAGACTGTCCTCAAACTTGGGATTCTCCTGTCTCAGCCTTCCAAGTTGTACAGTGTGCCACTGTGCCTGGCTAGGAGGCTTTTTATAATGAAGATTTAGATATATTTTTGCTTTTGTGCGAAAGTTTTTGTATCAGAACTCATTTGGAAAGAATTTCTTAAGTGACTTCCTTGATTCACATTATAGCATAGAAAAGGAAATGGAAAGGTTTCATGCTTCTTTGATTGATTTCTTTGTGTTTTCAATGATCATTTCCATTTTTATCCATTTTTATTTCCATTAGAGTAAAATAGAGTTTTCAGTAAATGTGTACTTCTATCATTTGTAGCAGTGCTGTCTAATAGCAATATGTAAGCCACATGTGTAATTTAAAATTTTCTAGTAGTCACATTACAGGGAGTAAAAATAGGTAAAATTAATATTTTTACTCAATAGATATAAAGTATTATTTTTAACATATGATCCGTGTAAAAATTATTGAGTTGTCTTCTTCTTTCTTTTCTTTTTCTTTCTTTTTTTTTTTTTTTTTTTTGCTGTTGTGCTAGGGATTGAACCCAGGGGGCCTTGTGCATGCTAAGTGGACACTCTACTACCAAGCTTCATCTGCAGTCCTTATTTCATATTAAGCCTTTGAAATTCAGTTTGTATTTTATACTTTCAACTTATTTCAATTTGGATTAGCCATATTTCAAGTGCTCAGTAACCGTATGTGGCCAGTGACTACTATATTGTACAGATCAGGTCTGTAGAGTCAAAACATATTCTTAGTATCTGGATACTAAAATGAAATGATGAATGGAAAGAAAATTAATTGGACTTGGTGAATATAATAACTAGTTACCAAACCCCAAAATATGATTATCTTTAAAGATAGTAGAACTGGGCTTTTTTACTCATTGAGACATTAAGTGGAGAAAATAGCTGGGAATATTGAGTAGATGTAACTTTTACTGTTTGGTTGCCCTTAATACCTGAATTATGTAATTGTATTTTTTTTTTTTTACTGTGTATACATCTCCATGCTTCCATGAAATTACAGTATGTGTTTGTAACCTTTAGCATAAATGCAGTTCCAACTACAATGAAGATTTTGTGCTACAGCTGGAGAAAGAATTGGTCCAAGCCCGACTGAGTGAAGCTGAGTCTCAATGTGCACTAAAGGAGATGCAGGATAAAATCCTGGATATAGAAAAGGTAAGAAATAACACAAATGCTGTTCACCCCTAAATTAGAGGGGAGATGTGGTAGGTATTTATTAAGTATTATTGAGTAATTAAAATTAAACTTGGTACTTTTACAATGTTAGAAAGTTAGAACAAAGAAGAAATATTTTAAAGATTGCCAGCTCTTCTTTGTTGCTACCATACTAATCCAGGCCTTATAATTAAGGACAAAAATGAAAATTAGAGCTCTTTTAGAAGAAAACAACCAGGATAATGTTCATAGAAAGAATATTTAAATGTTGAAGAAGAAAAACTTAGGTAACAGAAAGGAAGTGTCCTCAAATATTGCAATATCTATATGTGGAAGAGAGAGAATAGGACTAGTTCATAGAAATTTCAGAGAAAAGTTCCTCTGAGTGTAATATTTAGAACCAAGCTAGAACAAGTCACCTCAGGATATATGGCAAATTCCCCTTATCCTGAGTGGTGCTTATTTATAGGTACTCACTTACTTCTTCTCCAGGATATCAAAGAATGTCAAAACCTAGTAGATAAGTAGAGTAAATAGAAAAAGTTTCAGGTTTTTTATAACTCAGATTTGAGCAACTATGCTCTAGATCACAAACTGAATCTTTTTTTTTTTTTCTCATCTATAAAATCATTGATGTTGAGTTCATTCTTTTTTGCCCTTAGGTTTTTATTTATTTATTTATTTTAGTTGTAGATATACACAATATATTTATTTATTTTTATGTGGTGCTGAGGATCGAACCCAGGGCCTCACACATGCGAGGCAGATACTCTGCCACTGAGCTTCAGCCCCAGCCCAGTCCCTAGGTATTGTTGAATCAAGAAGGCTTATAGAAAATCAACATAACAGCCTGAATTGTTCTTAACTATTTCTTTTTTTTTTAAGATGTTGATGGACCTTTTGTTTTTTTATTCATTTATTTATATGCAGTGCTAAGAATCGAACCCAGTGCCTCACATATGCTAGGCAAGTGCTCTACCACTGAACCACAACTCCAGCCCCTTAACTATTTTTTAAAGAACTAGAACAGGTGTAACTAGAATCAGAAGTGGAAAAATTTTGCTAGAAATCTGCTTGCTGTTTGTATATTATCTGGAAAATGTATTCTTTGTTTTTTTTTTTTGTTTTTTTTTTTGTGTGTGTGTGTGTGTGTGTGTGTGTGTGAAAAAAGCAAGCAACAATGCTGAAAGAAATACCTAACAGAATATTTGGTTTCTAATCTAGGAATATTCAGGGCTCTATGGTTTAGATAAGAATCTAAGTCTTACATTTGGAAAGACTAAGTATTTGGTAGAAAGAAGTGTATTTGGGTCCAGTTAAAAAATCGGTTTCTTAGGTGGTGAAATGAGATGGACATCATTACCCTAGGTACATGTATGAAGACATGAATTATGTGACTCTATTTTGTGTACAACCAGAGACATGAAAAATTGTGCTGTAGATGTGTACTATGAATTGAAATGCATTTTGCTGTCATGTATAACAAATTAGAATAAATAAATAAATTTTTAAAAATGGGTTTATTGACAAGGGGAATGGCATGTGCCTGTAGTCCCAGCTACTTGGGAGGCTGAAATAGGAGTATCCCTTGAGCCTAGGAGTTCAAGGCCAGCCAGGGAAACATAGTGAGGCCTTGTATGATTTCTTAAGTGGCTGTGTTGATATTCACGTTTTAGAGTAGAAAGTAAGTTAGAAGTTTGCATTATGGTTAACCTCATTGTACAACATTTTCTTTCTCTGCTTCCAGTAATCTTTTTTTTTAAATTTTTTTCCTTTTTTTATTTGTTTCTTATATACATGACAGTAGTGGAGTGCATTACATTCGTGATTATCCATTCACAGCACAATTTTTTGTAACTCTGTATATGAAGTATGTTCACGCCAAATTATGCCATTATACATGAGCTCTCTTTTTTTTTTTTTTGCGTACAATTCTTAATACACCTTTATACCATTCCAGTAATCTTTTTAATGCATATACATTAGTATATTCTGATCTTCAGTTTAGAGAATGTTTAAAATCCATCATAAAAATGTGCATAATTTGTGAAAGTACTTTATTCTATAATCCCTGTGGGCTGAAATCTTTGTGACCTCCATAAAATATTTTAGAGATAGAAAATGTCATAGAACCAGGCCTTGAAATCTCAACAGTATCTTAGTTTATCCAGGGAACTTTCTCTAGGGCTGTTTTTGGATCTCCTGTTAGCTCAGTATTAAACTGCTCTGGAAAGTTATCAGGTGGGTCCTTTAGTATGGCAGGAGATTGATTTAAGTCTTGAATCCATCAAGCAAATATTTAGGTCATCTTGGTATTAATTTCTTGACTATTGATATAAATAGTGACCGATACACAGAGATTTGACACCCCTCTTCCAAGATAATGTGCTAAGAAAATAAAAACAGATTTTGGACTGTTCTTTTCTTTAAGTCTTTAAATCAGCAATATTTATAAGAGCCCCAAAGTGCAAACATTCCAGATTTCCTTTCGCTGATGAATTAATAAATAAAAACGTGATGTTTGTACAATAGAATATTATTTAGCAATAAAAAGAAATGAATCTTAAAAACATTGTGTTAATTGAAATAAGCTAGTCACAAAAAAATCACATATTGCATGATTCCATTTATATGAAATGTTCAGAATAGGCCAATCCATAGACACACAAAATAGATAAGTGGTTGCCAGGAACTGGGGGTTAAAAGAATGAATAATTACTGTTAATGGGCATAAGGCTTCTTTTTTAAAAAAAAATTGTTTTAGTTGTAGATGGGCACAATATCTTTATTTTTATTTATTTACTTTTATGTGTTGCTGAAGATCGAACCTAGGGCCTCATGCATGCAAGGCAAGCGCTCTACCACTGAGCTACAACCCCAGCCCCATAAGGTTTCTTTTTTGTGTGTAAAAATATTCTGAAATTAGAGTTTGGTGATGACTAAATAACTCACTTATATACTTTAAAAGGATGAGTTTTATGTTGTATGAAATATATTTCAATAAAACTGAATAAAATAAAGTATTTAATTACATATGGTGCAAAATAGCTCAGTGTGTACCATATGTTGTTTCTTGAATTCATATATTTCAAGTTAAATTTTCTCTCAATTAGAGAAACAACTCCTTTCCTGATGAGAATAATGTTGCAAGGCTTCAGGAGGAACTCATTGCTGTGAAGCTGAGAGAAGCAGAAGCCATTATGGGTTTGAAAGAACTTAGACAGCAAGTCAAGGATTTAGAAGAACACTGGCAGGTATACCAATATGTTTTATGTACTTTTCAGAAATATCCAGTTTGTTTGAAGTAGCTGATGTTTGAAGTAGCTGATGATGATGGTTAAGTAGGAGATGGTTAAGTTTAAAGTGAGAAAAATCCTTGATTAATGTCAAGATTAAGAGCATTTATAATTTGAAGGTACACTGAAACTGTTTCTACCTTCTTAATTCTTATAATGAAATAAAAGATAGAAATCAGGTGATTTTTTTTTGTTGCATGATTGTGTATTACATAACATTTTCTGCAGAAGGCTAAGAAAATACTCTTTTTATACTGTACACATTTTTTCTAATGTTGATATTAAATCATTGACAATCAGTGTGAAACATCAGAAGGGTGACAGCAATATAAATTTGTCTATAAATTTGTAACTTCTTTTAAAAATAGTTATCTCATAAAGTATATGAAATTTAACTAATTACATGCCCACAAATTTATCCACACATGAGGAAAATTATTGAAAAGGAAGAAAATACAAAGCTCTGAAAGACAGAAAAGAACAAGGGAATTAAAAACAAAAAAAACACATAGTTTCAGAATTGGTTTGAATTGAGGGGAGGCAAAGACATCTGTCCAAGACTAAAATTAGACTTCTACAGTGTCATGGCTTTTAAAAAAAAAATGTATTTTGTAGAAAGTATCAGGTTGCAATAAGCTGAAAATCAAAAAACAAAAACTCAGAACTGGTCCTTAACCACAAATTTTGAGAAGCACTGCATATAACTTCTAATGTTGCTTCTTAATGAATGACCCTATTCTTTTCTTTGTGTTTCATTGAAGATAATGTGAAAAAATCTCTATTAAAGATTAGGGTGAAAATTGTACTCTTTACTAGAATTACTCCTCAGTATATGCAGAGAAAAAATTTGAATTGCATCTGAGTCCAGGTCTGCCACTTAATTTGTGACTGTGTGACTTTCCTGAAGTTATAAAATCACAGTGTCTATTTTCTTACCTGTAAATGAAGATAATAGTGCCTAACTTTTAAGATTTCCTAGTGATTTAATGAAACAATATGTAGAAAACACTTAATATAGTACCAGTCCTGAAATATGTGCTTTGTAAAGTTAGCTCTTATTTTGATACTGAGAGTTTTTGATGCAATATAAGTTTTGTGCTTTAGCGCCATTTAGCTCGTACTACTGGGAGATGGAAAGACCCACCTAAGAAAAATGCTGTGAATGAGTTGCAAGATGAATTGATGACCATTCGACTTAAAGAAGCTGAAACACAGGCAGAAATAAGAGAAATAAAACAAAGAATGATGGAAATGGAGACACAGGTATGATGGGAAAACCCAAGAGGTTTGAAAGTATCATTAGCAGATCAAAGTTTTGTATACACAGATTGTATCATACCTAGAATAAAGGTAAAAAGTGAGGTATGGGTCTGTCTAGGCAGTGATTTTCTAGCCTAAATGAAGAGGGCTAAAAATTGTTTTCAGAGATTTAATCTCTGCTTCTACCCACTCAACCAAGTTTAAGCAGGATAGAGACTTCATTTGACTTTATTAGGTAAAACTCAGACCTTTGTTGCATAGCTTGGGAAGGAACATTCATGTAGAGCAAAATATCTCAACCTCCACACTTAAAATTTTGGCTTGATATTCTTTGTTTTATGAAGCTGTTCTGGATACTGGAGGATATTTAACAGCATACCTGGTCTCTACCCACCAGATGCCTGTCACATCTCTCTCCCACTCCAGGTTGTTTTGACCAAAACTGTTACCATGCATTTTCAGTTGTCTTTTGGAATGGAGATTGGGAGGGCAAAATTGCCACTAATTGAGAACCACAACTGTGGAATAATGCTTCCTCAAATTATGTAATGAGTAATCTGTTGTAAAATTGTTTACTGTTTTTCTCTAAAGTCCTCTGTTACTCTAATAAATCCTATTTTAAATATAATTAAGATCTGAAAGGGCCTTTTTATGAAATCCATTTACATTGTAAAAACATATTTGATTTCTTTCCTTTTTGGTACCAGGGTTCTTAACCAATGAGCCATATCCCCAGCCCTTTATATATTTTATTTTGAGACAGAGTCCTACTAAGTTGCTCAGGGCCTCACAAAGTTCCTGAGGCTAGCTTGGAACTTGGAATCCTCCTGCCTCAGCCTCCTGAGCCACACATTTGGTTTTTATGTGGTACATTTGCATGAACCATATTCTGTATGTAGTTGTTACTTCTTATCCATGAGATTGCGTATAGGATCCCTTTCAGATACCAAATCTGCAGATGCCCAAATCTATTGTATTAAATGGTGTAGTATTTGCATATACCCAATGTTATTCTCCTATATACTTTATTTATTTATTTTTTTAATTGTAGGTGGGCACAATGCCTTTATTTATTTATTTTTATGTGGTGCTTAAGATCAAACCCAGTGCCTCACCTGTCCTAGGTGAGTGCTGTACCACTGAACCACAACCCCAGCTCCTCCTATATGCTTTTAATCATCTCTAGATTGCTTATAATGCTTAATACAATGCAAATGGTTTGTAAGTAATTGTTATGATGTATTGTTTAGGAAATAATGACAAGAAAAAAGTCTGTATGTGTTCAGTTACAGATGAATTGTGTTTTTTAAAATATATTGATCCTTTGTTGGTTGAATCCATGGACACAAAATGCAAGGCTCCAGAGGGCTGGATGCTATTTGGTTTTCAAAGTATTTATTCAGTCAGTAGGGAGCAGTGTTAACTCATGTCATTCTGTATTCCATTGTGCAAAATGATCTGCTTATCTCAAAATGAATGTGTGATTTCTTTAAATTATATAGATCTTGCTTTACATTTTTCACAGTTATTTGTTGTATTTTCAGTATAAATAAAATAACACTGAAAGGATACTATAAGATTATGAAGAGTAGAATGTCTAGGTTTTATAGTGGGAAATAAATTCTGATTATTTTCATTATTTATTATTTTATTATTTATTATATAGTTATTATTTTTATAATCAGAATTTATCTTAATATAGACAATAAAAGTGTAAATACAACTTTTTTAATATATATTTTTTTTAGTTTGTAGATGGACACAATATCTTATTTTTATTTGTTTATTTCTATGTGGTGCTGGGGACCGAACCCAGGGCCTCATGCATGCAAGGCAAGAGCTCTACCATTGAGCTACAACCCCAGCCCGTAAATACAACTTTTAAGCCAGTGTTGAGGATTCTTCTCACAGTAGGTAGAGGTGAATGAAACATATTCACAAACATGGTTTTGAGAACTTTGAACAAAAAGCACTGTTCCAGCCATCAAGGACTTATATTTTAGTAACATGCTTCCACAATGTGACTCAGAAATCTGGTAAGTAGACAGTTAGATAGAAATTGCTAGGGGAAATTAATTCCAGTTAGGTGTTTTGGGGAAAGACTTTTTAAGGAATTTGTGTTTTGAACTGTTCCAGACAGGTAGGTATGATTTTGGATAGATTTTGCTGAAAACGGGATTGTGTAAGGCACTGATTTCTAAATGCCATTGCTCCAATGTGTGATAATCCATGTAGTTTTCTCATTGAAAAAATGAGAAAAACAACTAGAAACTGGTGTAATGGTGGTGGTATATAGTCATCTAATGAAATTATGTCAGACACCTTCCAGATTGAGATTTACCCATGTTGTTATATGTAACTCCAATTTCTTCATTTTAAGAACTTTTAGATAAATCTGTCTAGTGAGTATATGTCATTTTATTGAGCCACTGTCCTTGCTTTATACAGATTTTTGCTATTGCAAATAATGCTACTCTGCACATTCGTGCATGTATTTCCTTGTGTATGTCTCCATGTGTTTCTTAAGTACAGTACTTGCTTAATGTGCATGAATCCATTTGGCAGTCTGGGGCCTATGAACCCCTTCCCTTCTCAAAACAATGTTTTTGAATGCATAAAACAAAATACACAGGATTGGGAAACAAACCATTTATATTGAGGCACATTTATCAAAATACTAAAAACAAATATGTGACACAGAATACAGACACAACACAAAACACATTCCTTTTGGTGAATTTAAGTTGTTATTTATTTATTTTGGTATTTAAATTCACAAGTTAAATTATAAGTATTTTCCCATCCTTTTATATTTTCAACTTACCTGATTTTTTTAGATCTCTGATAAATAGCATATAGATAGCTTTTAAAATTGAACCTAACAAACGGTTGTTTAACTCTGAAATACCAAAAACTACTGTTAAAGTTATTTAAAGTAGGTGAATTTTATATATAATATAATATTATATAATATATAATAAGCTATTTAAAAATCCAGTCTCATGGAATTTGTTTGTTTGTTTTGTGGTGCTGGGAATTTGTTTATTTGTTTTGTGGTGCTGGGAATTCAACCCTGGGCCTTATGCATGCGAGGCAAGCACTCTACCAACTGAGCTATGTTCCCAGCCCTAGTCCATGTTTTATGATTCTGTTTGGATTACTCTCTATCACCTTGCTAGTTATTTTCTGTTCATTCATTTATTCTTTATTTTTTCTTCTTTGACTACCTTTTCTTGGCTTTATAGCACATTTATTACGGCTTTATTTTATTTTCATATCATTTATACTCCTTTTAAGAAATTTTTTAGTGATTATTCTAGGTTTTATAGTACACACCTATAATCAGAGCTTACTTTCAAATAATGTTATTAATTAAAAATAATGAATTGTTTCATGTGTGATAAAATCCTTACAATCGTGTATTCTTAATTCTTCCTCTTGTGCTATTGTTGTTATACATTAGTATAACATATGCTGATAATTTTGCTTTTAATCAGTGATTATTTCATAGATTTTAAATTTTTTAATGAATTGTTTTCCCTTTACTTATTCGACTTCAGCACTCATTTCTTCTTGTAGATCCTTGTATTCCTTCTACTTGGAAAGCTTCATTTTATATTTATAGTAGTGCTGGTCTACTGACATGGAATTTAGGATTTTGGGGGAGAGTGGAGGGAGCCAGTGAAGGGAATTTAAAACATACTTGCAAAGTATTGAATTCTGGATTGACAGATCTTTTTTTCTTTCATCACTTTATTTTTTTTAATTTTAAAATTTTTCTAATTAGTTATACATGACTGCAGAATGCATTTCGATTCATTGTACACAAATGGAGCACAGTTTTTCATTTTTCTGGTTTTCATTTTTCTAGTTGCTAGTACGGGATGTAGAGTCACACCACATGTGCAGTCATACATGTACCTAGGATAATGATGTTCATCTCATTCCACCATCTTTCCCACCCCCCTTCTCTCCCTCCCTCCACTTTGCCAATCAAGCTCCTCTATTCTACCCATGTGCGCGCCCCTCCCACCCCCATTATGGCTCAGCATCCGCTTATCAGACTACATTCGGCCTTTGGTTTTTTTGGGATTGTCTTACTTTGCTTAGCATGATATTCTCCAACTCCATTTACCTGCAAATGCCATAATTTTATTCTATTTTAATGCTGAGTAATATTTCTTTGTGTATATGTACCACAGTTTCTTTATCCATATATCTGTTGAAGGACATCTAGATTGGTTCCACAGTTTAGCCATTGTGAATTGAACTGCTGTCTTTCATCACTTTAAAAATCACTGTTATCTTTTTTTATAAATCATGCATGCCGAAATTCTATTATAATTCTTATTTTTGTTTCTCTACATGTAATGTGGTTCCGCCTCACCCAGCTGCCTTTAAGATTTTTTTTTTAAAGAGAGAGAGAGAGAGAGAGAGAGAATTTTTCCATATTTGTTTTTCAGTTTTCGGTGGACACAACATCTTTATTTTATTTTACATGGTGCTGAGGATCAAACCCAGCGCCCCGTGCATGCCAGGCAAGCACGTTACCGCTTGAGCCACATCCCCAGCCCATGCCTTTGAGATTTTATTTTTGGCTCTCTCTCCCCTGGGAGATTGCCTGCATTCTCCCTTGAATGTGTATGAGCTTTTTAAAAATTGGTTGTGTCTCTGGGTGGCAGGGAGAAAGAACAGAAAAAAAAAATTGGGGGGTGGGGGGAGTCGGGCGGCAGCGAGCAGTACCAGGGACTGAACTCAGGGACACTCAACCACTGAGCTACATCCCCTGTTTTGTTTTTCATTTAGAGACAGTGTCTCACTGAGTTGCTTAGCCCCTCGATTTTGCTGAGGCTGGCTTTGAACTTGTGATCCTCCTGCCTCAGCCTCCTGAGCTGCTAGGATTACAGGTGTGCGCCACCGCAACCCAAGTTTCTTGGCTCTGTGGATTGTGTCTACCATGAATTTTGGAAAATTTCTGCTTATTGTGTCTTGGTCATTATATCATTTTGGCTTTCTTCTGCCCATATGGTCTTCTGGTTTCAATGATATCCATATTGGGTTCGTTCTTAGTGTACAGGGTTTTTTTTTTCTTTTTGTAATGCTGGGGATCCAACCCAGGACCTTATACATCTTGAGCAAGCACCTTATCCCTGCCTTCATGTTGTGCAGAAACTCTTGGATGCTCTTTTCTTTCCCCCTCCTCTATTATTTTTTCTCTTTGTGTTTTTAGCTTCTATTGACTTCTTATTTAGTTCACTGATTATTTTCTCCACTTTGTTGAGTTGTTAGATGAAGCCATTTAAAGCATTCTTGTTATGGTTTTTTATTTCTCGTTTTTCTCTTGGTTTCTTAGAATGCTAATTTTTCTAAGGATATTACCTATCTGAACTTACTTATTTTTAAACTTAGAGCCTTTGACATATTAATCATACTTACTTTAAATTCCTTGTCAGATAATTTCAGTATATGTGTCATTTTATGAGGTGAATTTTATTGATTGCTTTGTCTTTTGCTAGTATTTTGGGGGGTTTTGCCTTCTATACTTCGCAAATTTTTGATGAAAGTTAGATATTTTAGATGGGGCAGTATATAAAGTATTTTACCTTAGGCTAGAAATGGGTACACTTTTTCTCCTGCCAGACCTTTCATGTGGGAGATTTGAGTTAATATAGTCAGGAGATAGGCTGAATTTGAGGTTTGTTGTTTCTGTGGTTATCCACAGTGTACCACAGGCTTCACAATCCTTTAGTAATGCCTTATTTTAGAGTAGGGGCTGGTTTGCCAGAGGGCTTTTCTCAGTGTCTTCCCTTCCTTCATACCACCTAAGAAAAAGGTCTGTCTCCAGGTATATTTGAAACTGCAGGGATGTTTCCTGTGATTCTGATAAAACCCCAGTCTTATGCTGCATTATGTTTTTGTATCTGGGTATTTGACCTTTTAATTTTCCTGCCAACCCCAGGCTGTAGTCTTAGGCCTAATATATTATTTCTCTGTCTACCCACTTTGTATTCCTATTACCTCTTTCAGAAATGAATATTTTTAAGTTGTATATCACTTATACAAAAAAGTATAGACCTTTTTGTATAAGTGATATATTTAGTTATAACAAGAGTTTCTAATATGGACCACATGTGTTCCCTTGGAGGATTAGATATTTAAAACAGTTTTATATCTTATTTTTTCAGTGTTTATTGAAGAAAATTGACTTGTAGCTGATAACATTTTTATGTTATTGTATTGAGTGCATCGGTAAAAATGTTTAATTTTCAGCCCTTTTATATATAGTGTACATAATTATATTTCTGCTTATTAGAACCAGATCAATAGTAATCATCTTAGAAGAGCAGAACAAGAGGTGATCAGTCTACAGGAGAAGGTACACTATCTTTCTGCACAGAACAAAGGACTACTTACTCAATTAAGTGAAGCAAAGCGCAAACAAGCAGAGATTGAATGCAAGGTAAATATGTCAGATAGCTGGTTTATGGTTTTTGTCAATGTAATAATGCCTTTCTTTATATCTATATCTATCTATCTATATCTATATCTATATATATCTCTATATCTATATATATATATATCTATATATATATATATATATATATATGTTGTAGATGGACACAATACCTTTATTTTGTTTGTTTATTTTTATGTGGTGCTGAGGATTGAACCCAGTGCCTTACATGTGTGAGGCAAGCGCTGTCTCTGAGCCACAACCCTAGCCTCCTGCCTTTCTTTTATAGGTTGTTTCATCATGACTAGTTGTTGTTGTTTGTTTGTTGTTTTGTTTAGGTACCAGATATTGAGCCCTGGGATGCTTAACCCCTTGGCCATATCCCCAGCCCTTTTAAAACATATTTTATTTAAAGATAGGGTCTCGCTAAGTTGCTGAGGTGGCTTTGAACTTGTGATCCTCCTGCCTCAGCTCCTGAGCTTCTAGGATTACAGGCTTGCGCCACTGTGCCCCCCCCCCCCTTTTTTTTAAGCCAATCTACTTCCCACTTTTGAAATTGCTTTGGTGGTACTTTCATACAAGGTTAGCTCATCTTGCTTCTGGGATGGACTTCAGACAAGAAACATTTTTAGCCATGTACTTGGTTAATTTCCCATATTGGAATTTACTAGTATCCCTTTACAGTGTTTATTTTGACTAATAGCCCTTTAAAACTGAAGCTTTTAATAACTCAACCCAAAACATGTAATTTGGAAAAATCGAGGCTCCATTGCTTTGAGTGTTATCTTGTTAGTGGGAAGTAAATATTGATGTATGTTTTCTGGAAAGAGTAGAGAGCAAAATAAATGTATATGTACCTTGGGTCAGGATAAAATGGATACATTTCCCATAGTTCTTTTAATCAGTTTTTCTGTGTGTGTGTGTGTGTGTGTGTGTGCGCGCGCGTGCACCAGTGAGTGGTGAGAAGTGTTTGATTCAGAAAGCATCAAAAGTATTGAAATCAAGGATATTTTCCCCTAAAATAAATTTACACACTTAACAGTGATGAGAGAGATTGGAGAGTAAGGTATAGGAGAGGGAGGGGATGTGTGTGTTTGTGTGTATGTGTATTTGTGTGTGTGTGTGTATGAGGGGTGTGGGGGAGAAAGAACTAGAGATAAGTGTAGTCTGCATATTAGAATGGATTACTGAAGACAAGTTATGAAATTTTGAAATAAACTAAACATCTACTTAGTAGATGGTAGGAATGATACCCTTTAAATATTCTAGCCTTCTTTTTCTATGAGAAGTAAGACTTTGTAAGTGGTACATTATAAAGCTGTAATTCCATCAACTTGTTTTAGTGTCATTAAAAACCAAGAGTGAAGCTTGAGTGGTTTATCAGTGTCATTGAAATCCAGAGATGAAATTACATCCTAATAAATATGCATGGCTCTTACAAATTTATACTGTGACAGAAATATGTAGGTAGTACTAAAATTTGTGATAATTTAAGCATAATCCCATTTGAAGGATGTGCATGGACTAATTAAAAATAAAATGATGTGAAATGAGGTTATATTAATCTGATTTATTATACAAATCTGATTTTTTATGATGCTGAATTATCTGTCCTCAATTAAATTTAATCTTTTTGCATTCTTGATGTAAGTTTTCTTTAAATATCTCGATAACAATGTTATTAGACTTGATATTGCTTCTTAAGTATCTTAGCACCTGTTAGTGAAGTAAAATGTTGTTTGAAAATAAGTATATATACAACTTACTGATAAAAATAGTTATCTGAGTTTATCTAAGTAATGGGTGCAGATCAGAATATTAGAGGATTTGAGGAACTGATACAGGATTTTATTTAATTTTTAGTGTTCATTAATAACTCTATAAAAACTATGTTATAGATGCTAACTCTGATTACTATATGTTTAAGCTATATATTAATTTACTCAGTCTTAGGAAATGCTGTTTGCAGATTTTAACAATTAATAAAATGAAATGTCACCCTAACACCTAGTACTTTCTGACTAAATATATATATTTTACCTTGTCATGTTGATAGAATTCAGAAACAAATTAACTTTCTAAGGAATGCAGTCCTTGAATTATATAAATCTGAATCATTTTCAGTTAGTTTTATATAATTATAGCTCATGATTGGTTGATATTAGTCATAAAAGCTCATTTTATTTTTTACTTATACAAAATATCAGGAAATGGTAATTTTGTTATTTCCCTCTACAACTAAATTTGAATATTCTCACTTTAAAATAAAATAATACAAATCCTTTGATCCCCAGTTTCAAAATCCAAAACACTCTGAAACCCAAAAGTTTCATAAATTTCACACAAATTCATTTCAAGGCAAAACCTGATTTGAGTTGACATATGGCCACTTAAAATTTGTTTTTTACCCCAGTTTGTGTGGATATTTATACTTCACTTTTCATTATAGATGCTGCCTCAGACACTTTTCTAAAATCTGAAAAAAAATCTCAATTCCAAACACAAGTAGTTTATTACTTTTGTTTTGTTTGCTACCCTAGAACAAGGAAGAAGTGATGGCTGTGAGACTTCGAGAAGCAGATAGCATAGCTGCTGTGGCTGAACTGCAGCAGCACATTGCTGAGCTTGAAATCCAGGTACATATAAAGATAATAGAATACATCTAAAAATAATGTCATAGTCCCCGTCTCTTCTCTGTGTACCTGATGAATGACTTATCTGTTTCTTTATCCCCATGACTGTATTCTAAGTTTCAATATTTACTCATTTCCAAGTCCTTTTTTTCTTATTGTGGTGAAACATACATAACATAAAGTTTGCTCTTTTAAAATATACAGTTCCGTGGTGTTACGTGCATTTATGTTGTGGTACACCTATCACCACCATCCATCTCCAGAAATTTTTCATCTTCTCTGACTGAAAATTTGTGTCCGTTAAACATTAATTTCCCATTCTCTTCTCCCTCCAGCCTCTGGTAACCACCATTATATTTTCTATATCTATGAATTTGACCAGTCTATCTACCTCACATAAATGGAATTATGTAAATTTTTTGTGACATTTCACTTAGCATGATGTCCTTAAGGTTCATTTATATTATAGCATGTGTCCAAATTTTCTTCCTTTTTAAGGCTGAATAACATTTCTTTGTGTGTATATACTACATTTTGATTATCTATTCCTTTATTGTTCCACCTTTGGGCTACTGTAAATGATGCTACTGTGATCATGGGAGCACAAATATCTTGGGAGTCCATGAATTTACTTCTTTTGAGTATATATAGCACTGGGAAGTAGAATTTCTGGATTATGTAGTTCTACTTAATTTTTTTGTGAAATAGTTATACTGTTTTTGAAAGCAACTATATTATTTTACATTCCTACCAGCAGTACACAAAAGTTCCATTTTCTCCATATCCTTACCAAAGCTTGCTAATTTTCAAGGGGTTTTTAAAAATAATCTGCCATTGGGCTGGGGATGTGGCTCAAGTGGTAGCACGCTTGTCTAGCATGCGTGAGGCACTGAGTTCGATTCTCAACACCAGGTAAAAATAAAATAAAGGTATTGTGTCACCTAAAACTAAAAATAAAATATTTAAATAATAATAATAATCTGCCATTCTAATGGGTATGAAGTGGTAGCTCTTTGTAGCTTTGATTTGCATTTCCCTAATAATTGGTAATGTTGAGCATCTTTTTACTTGCTTGTATGACATTCATTTATCTTCTTTGGAGATCTATGCATTCAAGTCCTTTATCCAGTTTTGAATCAGGTTGTTTGTTGGTGATGAGTTAGTTGTAGGACTTACTTATATGTTCTAAATATCAATCTCTTATGGATATATGGTTTGCAAATATTTTCTCTCATTCTATGGATTATCTTTTTTTCTTTGTTGATTTGTACTTTGATGGACAAAAGTTTTTAATTTTCCTGAAGTCCAAAACTTTTGCAAAAATCTGTTTTCTGTTTTTGTTGACTTCCTTCCAAGTCCATTTTTGAGTGACAGTTTATTGTATATCTATATTGTCAAAGCTGTTTTTCAAAGAAAATTCTGAGCTTTAAAAGGAAATATATTAGTTGGGTGCAGTAGCATGCGCCTGTAATCCCAGCAGCTCGGGAGGCTGAGACAAGAGGATTGTGAGTTCAAAGCCAGCCTCAGCAAAAGCAAGGCACTGAACAACTCAGTGGAACCCTGTCTCTAAATAAAATACAAAATAGGGTTGGGGATGTGACTTAGTGGTCAAGCACCCCTGAGTTCAATCCCGGGTACCAAAACAACAACAAAAACATTATTTTGTCATCTCAAATGTCCTCCTTATTGTACAATATGGTAAGATGAGAAGTTTCCTATATATAATAAGTATTATGTTTAAAAATCTGTGTCTTTCAAATTGGGTGAGTTGTTTTGTTTGATTGTTTGAGACAGGTTTTTGCTATGTTACTCAGGCTGTCTCAAACTCCTGGGCTCAAGGGATTCTCCTGTCTCAGCTTTGCCCTCTGAAGTAGCTGGGACTATAGGTATTGAACCATGGCTCCTGACTCAAAATGGGATTTTTTTGTTTGTTTTGCTATACTTGGGATAGAACCCAGGGTCATTCCAGCTAACTACCAACTAACTATACCCGAAGCCCTTTTCATTTCTTAGTCACTTTAAGTTTCCCAGGCTGGCCTCAACTTGTAATCCTCTTGTCTCAGCCTCTAGAGTTACTGGGATGGATTCCAGTTGTGCACCACTGTGCCAAACTTTGGTTCAATTTTTTTTTTTTTTATTACATTTTACTCCAAATCACAGTGTAATTTTTGTTGCAACATTTAGAATTTTATTTTCATCTGAAATTTCCTTTTGTTCTTAAATCTCAATTTAAAATTCAGTTAATTTGAAAATTTCCATATTATATTATAACCTAATTTTTTGATCTCCATCAAAGTTATGATGTTATAATATGTATACATTTATAAAAAGGTATCCTTTATGTTTTTTTGGTAATACTCCCCATAAAGTGTACACTCAGAAATGAACAATTTGCTTAGTATACTTATAATCAGTTATTTAAATCCAGCTACCATGTACTAGTCCAGTTTTACTTTTCTGGCATCAAGAAAATTATACAAATTTGCCATGTCTGTATATCTTAGTCATAAATAGCAAGATTTAAATCACTTCTTTTGTTGATTCTAAAATACTTATTAAAATGAAGAACTTGGCATGCTGTATGTTTTGTTTAAAGTGAACTATGTTTGCATCATTTTAGAAAAATAAAAAGAAGGTGCATGGTATTGGGGTATTTTTTTTTTTTTAGCATCTCCTCAACCTGTTGCCCCAAACCAAGCCCCTGGCAGCTACCATTCTACTTTGTAGGTATGAGTTCAACTTTTTTAGATTCCTCATATAAGTAAGATCATGGGGTATTAATCTTTCTATGCCTGGCTTATTTCACCTAGCATAATCTCCAATTTTATCCATTTTGTCACAAATAATAGGAATTCCTTCTTTTTTAAGACTGAATAGCATTCCATTGTGTATACTTACTTCATTTTCTTTTTCCATTCATCCACTGATGAATACTTAGGTTGGTTCCATATCTTGGCTATTGTGAATAATGCTACAGACATATCTCTTCAACATACTAATTTTATTTCCTTTGGATATATAACCAGTAACGGGATTGATGGATCATATGGCAATTCTGTTTTTAATTTTTTGAGGAACCACCATACTATTTTCCATAATGTATATGCTAATTTCTATTCCGACCAGCAGTGTACAAGGATTCCCTTGTCTTCACAGCCTCTCCAACACTTGTGATGTTTCATTATTTTGATAATAGCTGTTCTAACTAGGTTTGAGATGATGGAATTTTTTTTTTTACTATTAATAGGAGTATGTTAGCAGCAGTTTGTTCACTGTTGGTGAAGTGATCACTGAAATCCTGATTTATAGATTTACTGGTTATTTTTTCAGCTATCACTGCTTGTTCTTATCCTTAGGTCATTGTTCACCTCTTCTTCCTCCTTGCATTCTCTCCTCCTCTGGCTTTCCTAACACCACTTATTTTTGTTTGTTTGTTTGTTTTTTTGTTTTTTTTGGTGCTGGGAATTGAACGCAGGGCCTTGTTCATCCAAGCCACATACTCTACCAACTGAGCTATATCCCCAGCTCTCTAACACTACTTATTTTTTATTCTCTTCTTTCTTGTTTAACTGTTGTTTCCAGTCTTCTCTATCCATTCTGAGTGTTTGTGTTCTTGAGAATCCAAGTTTCGGGCTCTTAAAAACTATGGAAATAAAAGGTCTCATTTACATCTTTGTAACAAAGAATTATAATTTATCTCCAGCCTTAACCTCTTTCTCCTATCAGTTTTTAAACCTTTTGAAAAAATTATTAAGCACAATATCTACAGAAGTTCGTAAAACAAAGCTACATTAATATATTTTAAAAACTTCACATTTAACTGCTACCAAGGTAAAGATAGGGAACCAGTGCTTCTGCTCAGGGAGTCCACCCACTCATACCCTACTCCTTCTGACTTTTATGATGGTCATTCCATTACTGTTCCTCTGGTTTTGTCATCTTTGTGTGCATTTCTGATCCATACAGTTTAGTTTTCCCAGTTTATCAATTTTGTATGAGATAATATTTAATATTTTCTTTTGTGTCTTTTCTTTCATTGTTCAACTTTGATTTTCTAAGTCCTCATTTTTATTGTTGCATGCATTTTCATTTTTAAAATATAGCACAGTGTATTTACTTATTTTACTACTAGTGGAATAAGTAAATCGGGAATTTCCAGGTTGGTGTTATTGTGCACAATGCTGTGACATTGAATAATTATGCACACTGCATTGGTCATATGTGCACAAGTTTCTCTAGCATGTATACCAAGATGTGGAGTTGCCAAGTTGTAGGGCTTACGAATATTCAACTTTATTTTCCAAAGTGCTTGTAATAGTTTAGTCTCCCAATAGCTGCATATGAAAGTTCTTGTTGTTCCACATCCTCCCCGGTGCTTGATGGTGTCACGCGGTTTAATTTTTGCCAATCTGGTGGGTATGCAGTGATCTTTTGTCACAGTTTTAATTTACATTTCATTACTAAAAAGGTTAGCCATTTGGGTTCCTGTTTTTGTAAAGTACCTGATAAGGTTTTTTGCTTATATTTTTATTAGGCTGTCTCTTGCTTATGGATATATAATTTCTTATATATTAATGTTCTTCAAATGTTTTGTGAATATCTACTCTTAATCTATGACTTGTCTTTTGTCTTTATCATGTATTTGGTAAGTAGGCCAGTAATTTGAATAGTTCCACCTGAAAGTTGTACAACACTTTGAATTAAACGTGTTTAAAGTCAGACATGTTTCTGTTTCATCCATAATGTTTTCCTTCTTTCATATCTCAAGTCTTGATTAATGGATCATCTCTTATCAAATTATTCAACCTACTAGTAACTTCAGATATCTTTTTTTTACCCTATAACATAATATGTATATATAAGGTGTGCAAGTTTTCCACATGTGAGTAGATAACAAATTATTTTACAAAGTGCTTATGCTACTTTACTTTCCTACCAACATTTTGCCTAATCCTATGGATTTTACTTTAGACAATTCTTAATGGCTTATACAGGTTAGAGTG